TGTCCAATTACTCCCATTATTACACTTCTTTTTTTCAACATGCTGTCCCAACAGCACATTAATATGCAAATTGGGTACAGCGTATAGATAACACTGCGTTTAATGAAAAAAACAGTTTATGGAAATTTTACACACGTTGCATAAAGTAAAATGGTATATCAAATCATTTTGATATATCTTTTATAACATAGTTGAGAATCATCCTTATACAAAGTTTGGTATAAAAAAATCCTGAAACCTAAAAATTAAATGGTGACTTTTTTTAAAAATCCCATTGATTTTGCCTTTCCATGTCTATTCATGTCATTTTATTTATTTATTTTTTTTGAGAAAAACTGAGTCCTGGTGTCCTCTACAGAGGACATAACATAACATATAACGGTTGGGTTAGTCCATATTTGACCCAAAGTTGAGTTGAAACAACCCAGCATTTTTTAGAGTGTAGCATTACTGTACAGTAAAGTACAGTAGCATATTAAATCATTCTGTTATATCTTTCATAACATAGTTGAGAATCATCCTTATACAAAGTTTGGTATAAAAAAATCCTGAAACCTAAAAATTAAATGGTGACTTTTTTTAAAAATCCCATTGATTTTGCCTTTCCATGTCTATTCATGTCATTTTATTTATTTATTTTTTTTGAGAAAAACTGAGTCCTGGTGTCCTCTACAGAGGACATAACATAACATATGAGTAAAATATAATTTTTCAAAAATGTTATTTTTTGCTTATGCTCTAAACAATGTAATGACATGAAAAAATACTAAATTCACATACTCCCATTATTACACTTCTTTTTTTCAACATGCTGTCCCAACAGCACATTAATATGCAAATTGGGTACAGCGTATAGATAACACTGCGTTTAATGAAAAAAACAGTTTATGGAAATTTTACACACGTTGCATAAAGTAAAATGGTATATCAAATCATTTTGATATATCTTTTATAACATAGTTGAGAATCATCCTTATACAAAGTTTGGTATAAAAAAATCCTGAAACCTAAAAATTAAATGGTGACTTTTTTTAAAAATCCCATTGTTTTTGCCTTTCCATGTCTATTCATGTCATTTTATTTATTTATTTTTTTGAGAAAAACTGAGTCCTGGTGTCCTCTACAGAGGACATAACATAACATATGAGTAAAATATAATTTTTCAAAAATGTTATTTTTTGCTTATGCTCTAAACAATGTAATGACATGAAAAAATACTAAATTCACAAAGCTTTTTTTCTGGTTCTCAGGAGGATATACCAGGGGACTGTGCCTCTTTGAGGGCATGGGGCTGGAGACAAAGAGGGGCCGACTCGGGTCCAGAGTGTTCCGGTTCCTCGGCCCATTTGATCAAACTCCAGATGCCTCCTCTTCAACGAATCCATCTTTTCCTTCATTCAGCAACAACTGCAGTGAAGTCCAAACAGCAGCAAATGGTTTCGAGTGGGAAGAGTGAAGCGATGAGCACAGGAAATGAATCGAGTTAAGAGACGCACGCAAGAAGAAGAGCGAGACGACAGTAGAAGAAACAGAGAAATGAAAGAAACAGCTTGAAGTTAGGAGCAGTTAATATGGTATTAAAAACGAGGAGAAACATCTCCATCCAGTGCATGTTAAAACCACTCCAGTCAATTCAATGCAATGCAACACTCAGGAAATTGCATAAATGTATATCCTAACAATAATTACGAGAACAATGAACAACACGACTTGCATCATTTCCAACAACAAATAAAAGTGTAACCAAATGTAAACAAATTCACTCCTTCTGTTAAAGAAACAAGAAAAAGAGGTTGTAGGATTTGTCCGTGTCCTCCACTCTTTTGCCGCGTCCCTTCATACTAAGTGCAATTGAGGCAGTGTTAGTCTCCATCTTTGAATCAAAGTTCCCGCCCTCCAGTCCCTTCATGAAATGACAACCGCAGCAACCCTGCAGGTCATCTGGGGTGCAGCAGAAACCGGTCCAGGTACTGCGACATGGCTTCCCAATTCTGCCACAGAAAAGCCAAGATTATGACAAGGAGCAATGTGGAAAGCGTACGGCTACGTGTTTTCATCAGCGGAACTACACAGTTTGCGACCGCTGAGACGAACACTAGGAGTACCGCCATGACGGCCAGCAGCACGTTGATGAGTTTGCCGAGTAAAGTGCGTGCTGTGGCGTTTTCCAAACCTTCCAACTGAACCACTTGTTGTTGCTGCTGTTGAAGCTCCATCTTAGAGATGCGCGTTTGACAGGCCTCCAGCGCCTCCTACAGGAAGGGAATGAGAAAGGTGTTATGAGTAAAGCTGCCTTGTCACAATCTGACCAACACCACACCAGGGGCCTCATTTATAAAATGTTGCGTATAAACCGTCCTAAATTTGTTCTAAGATCATTTCTCAAAAGTGCGTAAGTGCGATTCAGAAAAAACGAACGTGCACACAAAAACACGCATCTCTTCCAGATGTGACATTTATAAATCGCAAATGATCTTGAAATTGTACGCAGCTGACTGGTGTCAGATCTCCGCCTTGTAAATGCCCCCTAATTAATATCATTACCATATAAAAGAGCACACGCCAATATCCGAATTTCTATGCTTGAGAATGACGAGCAAAGCAAAAAAAAAAACTTTACGGAGTCTGAAATTGAGATCCTGCTGGCGGAGGTAGAGGTTCGTATGGGGACGCTTTTTATTTAATAATCTGTAATTATTCTGTGGACAAACAATGTGTGTGTGGTTATATTTTTTCTATTGACTATAATCAACAACTTCTAGAAACAACAGAAATAATAATAATAATAATAGTAATTATAAAACAATTAGGTTTCCAAAAGTAAGAATAAACTATGAATTCAAGTAAAATTTTCAGTCATCTTATAAAACGTGAGCCATCTTACTTTTAAAATCACTTGCTTTGACAACTAATAAAAAGTTTAGTATCATGAAATTCTTGCAAAACTTTAAAAATCATTATTGAAAGAAAAATTGGACGGTTCATATCATAATAAAATAAATTATTACACGATTATGGTCTCCGGTCTGAAAA